CTCCAGTAACTGTGAGCTAAATAAACCTTTCCTTCCTTCATTTTGGTTGTCGGGTATTTGTCCCAGCAACGAGAGAAGAGTAACTAAGACAGAGGCAGAGGCAGGGAGATCGCAAATTTCAATACTGCCTAAGCAACTTGGTGAGACCTGTCTTAGACTACAGATACAAAGGAGTGGAGATTGCAGCTCAGTGGTTCAATCTCTAGTACTTCAAAACAATTGGGGGAGGGTATACTTAACCAATTTTCAAGATATTCACTATTAATTTATTGTTTGTTTACTCTCAAGAAGGAATAATGGTGGCATATAAATAATTTTAAAAGACAATTTTTTGTGTGCAGGGTCTCACTTTATGCAGCTCGGACTTGTAGTGATCCTCCTGTTTTCAGCCTCCCTAGCGCTGGGGTTTCAGGCGTGCACTACTATGCCTGAACTTAAAAGACAGTTTTATGAAAGAAAAGAAAATCCTGAAACTATTCTGGTTTCCCAGGATGAAAAGTAACACATTCTTGAAAAGTCAAAGACTTACTTCTTTTCTTAAGATGTCTATCATAGTCAAGATTTAAAGCAAGTTTTGTGCTTGTGAATTGTATCTGGACAATGATAAAGATGGAGGGGCTGGGTGTGGCAAAAGTTATTACTTACATTCCATTCGAAGGCCCCAATGGCTATCCCTGAAGATGCTCCTATCCCTGCCAGGCCAATAAAGTGGCTACTGCCAATATTTGCAGCAAAAAGAGAACCACCTATCTGAAAATCAAAAGTTGGTTACATATCAGAACTCAGTTCAGTTCCAAAAAACAATTCTTACAAATGGATGCTCTTGCTGAATTTCACATATTCTCCAAAGAGATTATTCCCTGGACAGAATCCCCATTCATACCTCTTCTATGCAGCCCTTAACTATGAATTATAAACCAAGGAGGGAAGAAGAGAATGAAAAAAGTAGAACGCCCATTCTTACAATGCTACTCTCCACATGCTCCACTAACGCACTTGGAATTCGCCAGTGCAGGAATATTAGTGGGTAAGTATTTATTTAAACTAATTGAAAATAGTTAACAATGTAATTAATTATGGTGCTGGCTTAAAATAGTAAAGTGCATGACTACGAAGAAGCACGATGTAACATTCAGAAAGAAGTAGGTAATAAGCTACACATATTACACAATCTCTAAATTTTTATGTGTCTATTTTACACTTGCACACATACATGTTCACATATACACAGGAGTGATTGTGGTAATTTACATAATAAAATACTTCTGCGACTGGAATCATGATTATGAAGATGGAGTGCGGAGAAAATTTTGAGTTCTGTACTTAGCAACATTGCATGCATGTGTGCATGTGTTTTTACAACCAACATTACTTTTAAAATCTAAAAATCCTGGGCCAGGGAGATGGCTCAGTAGAATAAGTGCTTCCCTGGCAAGTGCAAGGGCCTGAGTTCAATCCCCGGTTCCGACAAAATCTAAAAATCCTAATCGCATTTAAAAGGAACAAAAGACCTCCATCACTTTCAAATGGAGTAGAAGTACCCAATCCATTTAAAATGACAATCAGATCATTATACTGTTGATATCAGTCGCATTTAAAACCAAATTATCAAAAGAGGCTGAAGACAACAAAATTTTAGGTAAATGAAAACAAAAGAACTACATTGATGATATTAAAATAAAATAAATTAGCATATAAGATCAAAGCCAATAAGAAAGACAAAAAGGTTTCAAAAAAAAAAACTATGAAAGGTAAAATGCACAAATAAAACATAGTTGACATACAGCAAACACCTTGAAAGTGACAAATATAAGGCAAAGGAATCTTAGAAGAAGTGTGTAACACGTACTCAAGTAATGGTAGTAATTTGTACTATTAAGAATGTTGACTAGGGCTGGGGAGATAGCTCAGTAGAATAAGCACTTGCCTGGCAAGCACAAGGGCCTGAGTTCAATCCCCTGTCCCACCAAAAAAAAAAAAAAAAAAAAAAAAGAAAGAATGTTGATATATGCAAAATTACATTGTGTAAATTGCCTGATAATATAGGACATAAATAGTGAAATGTCCATACAACGTAATACTGTGCAACGTGTAAGTATAAGCTATTTGTATCTATGTTTGCAGGCCACAAAAATATTTGAGTGCATTAGTAAATGGAAAGGTAATTGATAAAATCATCATTCATTAACAGTTAATGTCCACAGCCAACTCTAAGCCAAGTACTGTTGTAGGTGTTAGAAATACCTTGGTGATTAAAACAAAAGTGAAATCTCTGTCCTTATGAAGCTAACACTCTTTTGGGAAGAAGAGAAACAATAAACATAATACATTGCAGGATTATTTTATCGCATAATAGTGATGAATACTAGAGAGAAAGAGAAAGGTGCAAAGTGGATAGATGGGCTGGCGAGACAGCTCAGCGGTCTAAAACGCCTGCTTAAGCAAGCTTAGGGAAGAGCGCAGGGACCGTGGTTCAATCCCCAGCACCACATGCCATGCCAGCCCTGCTCCCAGGGTGGGCTGAGCCAGCCACACACACACAAAATAAGTGGTTAGGAGTACTTTGTCATGCGGTGGTCAGTGTGGGTGGTCCTGAGAAAAGAGCTGAAGAACACCAGAAGAGTCGCAGGGATATCTACAGAGCACCCACATAGAAAGAAACAGCAGCAGGTGCAAGGGCCCTGATCAGGAGTATGAGGAGGCCATTCAAGGACATTGTATGAGCTAGATATGGTGCCCTGGGAGGCAAGGTTCAAGAGGAGAGCAGGACAAGACCATCTGCTGCCTTGTTGTAGGACTTTTAAGCAGCTGAGCCTTGATTCTGGGTAAGACCGGAACCTTGGAGGTTCTAAGAAAAGAAATGCTCTCATCTGATTTGAGGGTTAACGGGCTTCCTTTAGTTGCTTTGTTGAGACTGAATATAGAGGAGCAACTGCGAAAGGAGGGAGCTCAGAGTAGAGACTGGTATAATTAATCTAGTCTAGAGATGATGACAGCACGGAGCTGCAGACAGGATGGACAAGATGTTGCCAGGCACCAGATACACTTTTTAGATTGAGTCTCTGGATGGCCTGATGGATTGTATATTACATTTGGAAGAAGAAGAAAGGTTTAAGGTGACATCAAGTTTGCCAACCCCAGCAATTGCAATATTGGAGGTGCTATTAATTAAAGAAAGGGAAAGATTCAAAGAAGAAAAGCCAGGGTTCCCTTTGGGACATGTTAGGTGTCAGGTCTCTGATAGGTCCTTGAAGTGAAGGTATTGTAGACAGCTAGATCAAGTAGGCTTGTAGCCTGCTTTCTGGGATTAGATCACTAGGATTCCCAGATCTAAATACAACTGAAAAAGGTAACCAGATAATTTAGCTTACATGCAGTAAGTCCCTGGAGGTCCAATGGTCTTCTGCCACCTTAAGACAACTCACTCCTAATTACCACGTCACTGACTGCAGATTTAATCTCCCTGTAGGCTTTGTGGGTCATTACAGGTCCTCTAAGGGGCTGAGTCAAACCACTGATTGGCTCATACCGTTGTAGTTAACTGTGGTGTCAACTTGAATTAAAAAATGCATAGCTGATCAGTTTGGTCCAGTTTTGGGGGTGTCTGAAATGTGGACTCACTGAAGAGGTGGGACCCACCAGGGGTGTGGATGGCACCAAGCACCAGGCTTGCATCCTGGATGGAATAAGAAGGGAAAGAAGGGCTTCTTGGTTCTTTGGAGGAGCAGCTCCAGTCTTCACCTTTGGGCACCTGTCTGCAGGCTTCCGGTGCAGTTTCCAGCCTTCCAGCACGGACTCTGCAGCCTTCCAACACAATACCCTTTGACTTTCTGATAGAGACTCACTTGGGAATCTGCAGTGAGCTCCATGTCTTTGGCTTTTGCCTGCATCTTCTGGCTTTCCAGTGCGCTGATGCTCTTTGTGCATTCTTTCACACTTGACACTGTAGGTGGCCACTGCAAGCCTACTTTGTAAATTCTTTATGTCATATATTATATATACTATACCATATTAATATATAACATATCATATATATAATATAACATATTATATATAAAATATATTAAATTTTTCCCTTTACCAAATTCTGATACATACTTTAGACCAAACCTGCAATCCTACCTCAAACAGTAAGTCTTAAAGCCTTTGATACCAAGTCCTCTCAGTGCTATGAGCTCTTCTCACTGGCCTGCTCCCACCCTGTGAAATGTATTTTGTCTTTTCTCTTGCAAATAACTCACTGATCCTGCTGCTACTTTTAGGTGTCCTGCTTTGTTTAGGACATCCAAGACCCTTTTAACCTGGTAACAAAACCCAATCCTTTTCATAAGACTGGTTAATATTTGAGGACAGAGAATAAATGATTACATAAGAGTCTGATTTTTTTTTTTCTCAATTCGGAAATGAACTTTAGGTCCTATGTGAGAAATGCCTATATATTTTTTACATGAGAAGTTATAAAGTGGCCCTGGCTCAAGCTTGGCACCAATCCCCATCATCCTCCTGCTCCCTGCCACACCTACCCCAAGATATGGGCCTGTGGATGGCTCAACTGTCTCCACCGCTTGGGCTTTGTCACTCTTCTTGTACAGAATCACTTTGTATAATTGATACATTATTTAAAACAAAGCAAAGCAAAGCAAAGCAAAACAACAAAACAAAACAGAAGTGCTCTTTGTTTTTCACTTCCACTCTGCCTCTCTCTGCAGAGCACTGTGCTGCTCTGGCACCCCCACGCTGTAGCACATGCTGTTCCCTTAGCAGTCTCACAGGGGGCCCCCCACCTGCCAGTGCTGCTCACAATCCCACACTTTCCTATAGTGCTGTCCCAAGGACACCCAAGTTTACCTTTCCTCCATACCGCTCCTGCACACTTTCCTAGTAGACTTCTTGTCCTGCATTCTAATTCTGTTCTCTGCACTTCCACTTAGTAGGACTATTTTGTCTGTGTCCTGGGGCCTAGAATAATCCCTTGCTGAATGGCACGATCTAATAAGTGCTCAACTGAACAGAATTGAATGGAAACATTTAAGTTAAAAAAAAAAGAGAGAATATGTAAGACTCAAGGGAAATAGTAACTAAATGGCATGTCTGATTTAGCAAATTCAAATTATTTGGGTATCTGACATCTAAACTAACAAACAAATTAACACAAGCCTCCTCCAACCAGGTGGACTGCCATATGCAAGGCTTACTCACCAGCCCCCATACTAGATTTTGGCCAGCAAGGAAGAAGCCTTTTATTGTTGACCGATCTCTTGATAAAGCCTAAAACAAAACAAGAAACACTCCACATGGAATTCGTGAAACCAAACTGCTGCACAAACACAAGTCTCTTAAACAGATAGCATTCATTTATCATTTATCAAATGCATTTTCTTCCACTCCTCCCCTCCCCCTTCTCTCTCCCTCGCTCCCCCTCCCCCTTCCTGGCTCTGCACTACCGGGGACTGGACCTTCAGTTACATCACAAGCACACTGACGTTCAGGTCTGCTGGAGCCTCGGTGCCAGCAATCGTGGTGGCAGCGGCGGCCAAGACCATCAACCCTCAACCTCTGTGCGTGATCCATTGCCTGGCACTGCGGCGGCCTCGGATCTTCACTCAAAGGTGATGATGCGGCGTCCTGCCCTGCCAAGGCAGAGCGCGAGGGCAAGGGTCCACCTCGCTGCTGCTGCTGCCTCCACTGAGCAGCGGCGTTGCCTAGCGACCAGCCCGGCTCAGAGCCAACCGTTAAAGCTTGGCTCATCGAATCCCGCCAAGACCATAGTAGGGACAGCCCGCCAGACCAAATGTATTCAAAACACTTTCCGTGTAATTGGTTGAATCAGCGGACGCAGAACTCCCAGATAGGGAGGGCAAACTGTTACTGACGGCAGGTTGGAAGGATTTCCACCATCCTGGTTATCACAAGGACTCTTTAAGTTTCAGGGAGTGGGTATAGGAGCATTTGATCTGTTTGATTATTTGGGGGTTAGTAGGCCCGTGTATATGTGTGTGGTGAATGTACAGTATCACTGATTCTTGGCTGGAAGGATAGCAGCTAAGCTAAGAGCGGTCTCCTCTTAGGGCAATATGAAAGAAGATGCCAGGATGCAAAGTGGGGACCCAGTACTTGGGGGGGGGGTGTCAAACCCACCCCAGGTCCAGCTCCACCCATACCCTGGGCCAGCCATACCCGTAGACCAATGTACAAGACCAGCAGGAGATACACAGCCACAATCAGTATATCTTTCCAGTTGGAGGTAACGACATCCATAGTACTCCAGCTCCATGTGTGATCCTTGTTCTCAGAGAGTCTCATGGCGATGTTTCTGGATCAGTTAGGCAGCAATGGCTCCAGCTCTGGTTTGCAGGGCATTGTGGGAAAGACTGCAGGGCATTGTGGGAAAGACCGTGGGCCAGCCTGTAGGGGGCAGTGGCTCCAGATTTAGTTTCAGCTCTGATTTGCCGGGCATCCTGGAAAGGGCCAGAGGCAGCTATGTGGGTGTTCCCAGCAGACCCTGAGACCCAGGGTAGGCCAGGCTGCAAAGAACTCCTTACACAGAATTCCTTATCAAGAACACCTTATCAAGAATTGATCTGATATGCTAATTAAGCAGCTCTTGGTGGGGTTGGGGGCAAATATTGGCCTTTGTCAGCCACAATCCTGTCAGGATCAAGCTAAAGATCTGTTGCGGGAAGGAGGAGCAGGAGACTAGCGGGATCAGTAAGGTGTCTTTCAGAGTCACACTAGGTGCTGTGGTGCAGGAAATGGCTAATACTGCTCCTGTCTTTATTTGCAAATTTGGAATTTTGTTCATAGTGGATTTTTGCATTGTTTTTGATTGATTAAAGTATTGCACTAGCATAAACTATCTTGAATACTGAGGTTTTTTTTTTTCTTGTCCACTCAAGTTTTACACCAAGGCAGAAGCCCCTACTCACCTTTACCTAAAGAATTGCTCTGGTTTGAAGAACTGATGGCAGAATAACCTCAGGTCACTGAAATCTGTTCTTTTACTGGTAATGTATGCCTTTTAAATCTGAGCCAAGCATCATTTGTGTGATGCATTTGTTGACCTGTCCTTTACTTAATCTTAGTTGGTAATACTAAGAGCAACATGAATGAGATAGAAAAGAAAGGAAGGCTGGCCCTTCCTGTTTCCCCTCTGGCAGAATGGGCCATGCCTCTTCCTCCGGCACCCCTTGCCTGCTCAGGGGTTACCTGATGCTTGTCCTAGGCCTGCCCATCAACCTTGGGGTCTTTCAGAGGTCACTCCCAAGCTTCAATGATTGGAGCTGAAACTTGGCTAACAGCGAGAAAGCCCCTCCCTGGCTTCTGCCACTCCCAGTACTGCTGCTGCTTCTCTAAAGGAGGGCTGACAGGGCACAGACTGGGACGAGATTGGGGCCTATGTTGATATCCATGAAATCGTTAAACTCCAATAGTTTCTGATGAACACAGCCAACCTTCTTAGAGAGTTCTTAAAAGCATTCAAGGACTTGTTTGCATAAGAGACAGACCCTCAGCCACTACAGGAGATTCTTGCCTTGGCCTCAGGAGGCTTTTGATAGTCAGACAAGTCCCTGATGACTCTGTGATCTCCAGCTGACTCTGCCCCCTCCTGTCATTGCTTTGAAAGTTCTCAAGCAGGTCCAGGACATGTATAAAACTAGAGGTGCAGGCCATTCTCGCTCTATAGAAGCAGCACTTACTAAGCTGTGCTCTTCCTGATGTCCTGACCCTCCCACGTTGCTGTACAAGTCTGAATAAAGCCCCACTTGCTCAGGTAATGCTGTGGCTGGGTTTGGCACCACTGCTTTGTGAACAAATCTTCCTCCTATTATCCCAAGGGGACCTAAAATCTGTCAGGATTGGGGTGGAGCAGTTGGTCCCTTCTGTGAACTAGGTGCTTGCATGCTGGAAAGAGGCTTTGGAATTCTGAAATTTCAGTCTATGCCTCTTTTTTCTTGACAGGCATCTTCAGGTTCTTCTCTCCTGTGCTGAGTTGCTAATTGGAGTATGCTCAATCACATTGCCTTCTGGGGAACTGACCTTCTGGGGGAGTTGAAAGAAATGACTGTACAAATACCTTTGCATAAGACGTGAAACTAATCGGGAATTGAATCTTGGGCCTTGTTGCTCTGTTGGCTGGAAAGGCATTTTTCTTTGCCTATTGGAAATTTTATGTTGCATGTGGGTCTGAATTCCTTAAATTTCATTTTGTGTAGCTCTTGCTGCCTTCTCGTCTGTGTTGCTGTAACTGCTGTGGCTTTGCTGATGATTTGTAACTATAGCTTTTTGGGGTACAATCTGTGCAGATACTGATCCCAAGGATCATTGGGGGTGCTATTATTCTATTCAGTCTGTTGTTGACTGTCTTTCCTGAAGGTGTTGAGGTGGAAAACCTTTTTCCTTTGGTATTTCATTGCTCTATCTCACATCACAGATAGTGAACAAAGAGAGGTAGCGAGGGGAGCAAGTCTGTGGTCTTTTTAAAAGCTCAATTTTGCAACCTTTCTTTCTGCTAAAAGTCCTACCATAATTGGGTCATTCCAATGGATTCACTGTTGGGATACCTTTTAGTTAAATGGGGCAAGTTTAAGGAAAAAATGCTTAAAGAAAGCAAGGTAATTTTCTTTTGTAATAGCCTGGTTTCAGTATAAATTGTGGGATGAAGAACACTAGTTAGAAAAGGCTCTGTTGGACCAGCCAGATAGCTTAGCAGATTAAAGAGCTTGCTTAGGCAGATACAGGGACTAGGGTTCGATCCCTGGTGTGCCCTGCTGGCCCCACCCCTGGGGCACACTGAGATGGCGATTGAGTCTGGGTGTGGTAGCACGTGCCTGTAATCCCAGTGCTTGGGAGACTGAAAACAAGAGGATCACTATGAGCCTATCTGTGTAGTGAGACCCTGTACTACATACATAACAAAAAGGGCTCAGTGCGTTACAGCACCATTCTCCAGCTAGATTTATTCTATAAAAGGGAGGAAAAGTCATCAGAAAATTCTCCAGATAGCTTTCATGAAGCTGTACCAGGATCCTAGACTTGGGAACATCTGTCAGGCTTGGGTGGCTATGGTCTCTAAATCCCCTATGCCCACGGAACCCAACGCAGACATCCTAACAGAGCCCTGCCTCCAACCTGCACCCTGCTGGTGGATATACACACTTCTCCTGGACCCAGCACCTGATGCAGGACCACTCTCTCTGTCTCTCTGTGAGCTGACAGCAGCACCTCCGTGAGCTCTTCTTCACCCAAGACAGAGGCCTCTTTGCCTCTCCCCATCCTTAGTCACATGTCCCGCCTCTTATCTCCAATTGGATTAAGATCAGGAAATGAACACCCCACCTTACTCAGGAGATTCTGTTCCCATTACAGGAGGTGTCAAGCAGGGATGATGAAATTATCAAGGCACATGTTCCTTTTTCAGTGACAGACATAGCTCTTTGCAAAGACAGATTTGATGGTTCTTCAGAGCACCCTGATAGCTTTAAGGATGAATTCATTAATTGGAGCCTGTTATCAGGTAGAGTAGGGACCGGCAGTGTCTTTCAGATTCTTAGTGTCCCGCTCAATGAATTAGTCAGGATAGTTAGTGAAAGTGAAAGATTATTGTTTATTTTAGGATAGAAATTAAAAAAAAAAAAACAAACTCACAAGAAGTGCTCAAGGAGAGGAGGGTGCTTTGAAGGATAGAGACAAGCAGAGTGAACCACTGCAAGAATGAGAGGGCATGGCACAACGTCAGTTCCTTCTGTTCTTTTTATGTGCTGTTTGATAGCTGATCCAAGCGACCCCACTTGATCTCATGCTAGAAGACTGGTGTCAGGTGTTAGGCTTGGCTTATTTTCATGTCAGAAGACTGATATCAGGTTCTGGGTCTGATATGTTCTCACATCAAAAGATTGGTGCCTGTGCAAGGCTTGGCATGAGCTCCTGTCAGGCTCGGGAGCTGCTGCTTTGCATCTGTGGTTAAGCAGTCCTTTTAATTGGCTGCCTCTGCCCAGTTGCACCGGCTGTGTGGCCACGCCCTAATCTACTTCAAGTCTACATTTTGTCCTTAAATGGAATAATGGAATGATGTGATTGCAGTTTTTTTTTTTTTTTTTTTTTTGTATTTAGTACAGGGTCTACAGGATTTTACTCTGCAGACTGGACTTGTAGTGGTTCTCCTGTTTTCAGTTCCCCAAGCACTAGAACTGCAGGTGTGTGCCGCCATGCCCAGTCTCAATCACAGTCTCAGCATGTCTCAGGCACATGCCAGTCCTGCCCCTGAGGCGCGCTGGTCCCTGCTCTCTGCCTAAGCAGGCACTTTAATCAGCTGAGCTATCTGGCAGGCCCTGTGATTGCAGTATTAATCCATTGCTGCAGTCCTGATGAGAAGGAGCTTATTCTGACGTCACTGATGGGCTGGCAGCTAACACCCTGGAGCAGAGTATCTAGAAGCCCAGGGAGGACGCAGTGCCCTCTACTCAACCCCTGGAGCCCTGAAAACTCTGTTCATGGGGCAAGGGTGGAACATCTCATAACTTGTATCTCAGAAGGAATGAAGAGATAGATGTCCAGGTAAGCCTGTCTGTCATGCCAGGGTCAAAGAAGTGACAGAGGAGAGAGAGAACTCTGTGGTGTTTTAAAAGTACTTGTCAGAAGTCTTTCACAGGGATATTATTACCAAGCCAGAGTTAGTAGACAGAATCAACCTAAATGCCCTACATTTCTGATGTGGGCTGCCCCACATACTAGGAGAAAATTGCAAAAGGCTTGAGGTAGGACCTCAGACTCCACTGTTGACATCTCTAGTGGAAGCTTTTGAGGTCTACAATAATAGGGATCAAGCAGAAGAGGCTCACGGGATAAGATATTGGAGAAAACATGGAGTTCTTGGCTGCTTAATTCAACTGCTACCTCAGGTTAACTCACAATTTTTTTCAGCATGACAAAATGTGGGTAGAAATCAGCGTACGTAAATGTTAGAAGGAGGGTTCATGGGAAAGGAGCATGTTCCAATTAACTCGGGGTGGGGGGCAGTTGAGAAATGGCTCATTTGAGGCTGAGATTGGACAGACTTTTCTGGAAACATGAGCCAACATTTAGACTGAGGAGGGAGAAAGATCCTCCAGGCTCCCCTACAACAGAAGATGTCATCAGTGAAACCTTGAGTAACCACTGACATGGCAGGCAAGAATGTCAGTTTACTTTTGGAGAGGGTCACAGAACCTTTGCCTGTGACTGTCTTGTTCTTTTGTCTTGTGCAGTATGTGGGTCATGGGGTTCTGTGCTCCTTACTTTGGGCTCTACTGCTTGAGTTCCGGCAGG